ATATAAAAACATTGCGAAAATCTGCGAAATTATACGATAATATAATAAAGATTCACTTATTGTGAAAACGACAATGGTGAAAACACAAGAATTTGAAGTGCTATCCTGGATAAAATATACATTTTTAACTTCCCGTAGGGTAAGTTATAATAATCGTCCAAAAATCTAAATTGAAACTTTTTGAATATCATTATTTGGAAGGTTTCTGAACATTTTGGCACACCTCAGAAAAAAAATGATGTGTGTGTGAATACAATTTTTCGTCCACGATTTTGGGCGTACCGGTCAACCAATTTGAATAATTCAAATCGATTCCTTTTGATGAGGAGACGTGCTGATTACTTTTTGGCAAAGACAGGTCATTTTCGGAGATATATTCGGAGCTAAATGTGCAAAAAATGGAATTTTTGAGAGAACGAAGCATCCGATTTGAATGATTCAAAAAACCCTTTGACCCTATTTGTATTGACGAAACGATTGTTTTTGGGGAAAGCAACATGTTTTTTAAATTTATTTATTTTTTTAAATTTAATTCTAGCTAAAATTCTAAAACTCACGTATATACTTAAAATAAATAATTATAGCTTTGCAATTCAGTTTATATAATTTTTATAATAATAATATGAAACAAGATTCTTTATTCTAACTCCTCTTCATTAAGTTCTGATCATTTACTTTTCATGTAAACTTATATAAACGTCATCAACAAATTAATTAAGTCTTATATTTTGTCTATAAAATACTAATACAACATTTATAATCTATTTCAAAACATTTATTATGCTTCGAATGTTTCAGTGCGGTACGGGAAGACGCGATACCATACATCACTATTTCATTTTTTTTCGAAAACCTAAATTTATTAATACTGCTTAAAATGCAATCTTATATTTTGTTTAGTATGATACTTTCCGCAACTATATTTTATACAACTAGATTCAATATCTTAAAAATACAATGATACAAATCGCTAACAAAAAATGTAATGCAGTTTACCCTTGTTGGTTAATAATGAATCTTTTACTTATTCAATCGATCACCTATTCATTTCATTTATTTTGGGTAAATGTGAGTTACGTTAACCCACGCAAATATGAGTTAACTTACGTTCCGTTTAACATGATAATTTAAATTTGAGAAAATTATTTCGTATTGGTGATTGTCGTGATATAATATTATTTTAAATATTCTTTATTCAAGGCTTCGTGTAGTATTTAATTTGAAGACTAGCGTATTGATGCAAACTTAAGTCGAGAGGCGTTTTTTAAATGAGCGACTCTATCGTATCAGTAGTCATTTCCTGCACATATTTTTATGCAAGAAATGATGTTCGATGTAGTTTGCTAATCTATGATCTCATCGGCGATTCAATTGAATTATATTACTAACTATATCTTAATTGAAAAACTGTTAAATTGATTGAAAACACGTAAAATTCATTTCATTTGCAGAGCATTGAAATTTTTAAAATTGTTCTGTATTGGATTATGTTATACGTCAATTATACATTTGTACTCAATATGAATATATTGTTAATTTAGATATTAACAAAACAGATACATTAAGAGAATTTTGTTAAAACTTCCATCATCACAATTCACTCAAAAATTAAATATCTGGTCTCGGCTATAAATAGTAAAAAACTTCGATTTTATTTAATTTGCCCATGCATTCACATTTCCAGATTTAATTCCAGATCTTAATAACTTTGACTTATAAATATATCGAATGGATATATGAATAAAAAATGAAAATATGTAAATATAAAAATAACATATTATTATAATAATTATTCTGTTAACGTATTTTTGAAAAATTCATTATGAGGCTAGTGATTTGTTTAGTATTTGTTAATTATCTCATTTTTGGGTAGCATATGAATTTATTGGAAAAATGTATATGAATGTCGTATAAAGTGTAAGAGTCTGTTTATTTTTCTTATTATAATATATTACATTTATATTCTAAAGATTTAACGGTATTTCATTTTATTAATTTATTAGAGTGTATCATTTACGTCGAAAATTTATCTAAGGAATGATTCGTGGGAAATTACAAGTTTCGTGCAAAAGTTCACTCGATTTTTGAATTCTGTAGTTGTTATATTGGTACATTATATGTCTGCAAAACTGGGAAAGGATATACCTAGCTTAGCTTTTAAACACACCTATTATGTCCTTATAATTTCTTAAATCATAAAAATTAATGATGAAGTCACCTAGTTTATAATTTGATACTTTTATGTCTGGTAAAATATGTTAAATGAATTAACACTTTATAAACTACATATTTAAAATGCTTACGTTAAAATATTCCAAGTTTTCCAATTTCTACATTCAGTTACGCCAAAAAGTTTACACTTCTCAATTTTATAGAGTAAAGTAATTACATCAATGTTCAGTTTTATTTCTATAGTTCTCAGTATGTTAGTAGTACTCGTTAGCAATTTATTTAAAAAAATTGATTGATTATATTTTCAAATTCAGATATAATGTATTTGCTTTTGTATTTTGTCAATTCCGTAAGATGAATAAAATGGTACGGAATTATGAGTTCATAAAGTCGGAAACCTAAGAAAAGAAAACATATAAGTGTAGCGGAAAGCTGAGTACCCTCCAACACTTTCACTTAATTGTGATACCCGATTTCTATTATGTGGCAAACTAAATTGTATAACAAATTTTACGAATACTTTGCAAATTAGATATATATGAAATTTAATATAAATTAATCCAATAAATATTATTTTATATTATAAATACCTCTTACATCATAATAAGGTGGCCATATTTTTTAAAGTCAAATCAGAGACGGCAATTTTTAGATATGCTAATCCGAGACGTGGGGGTGAGGTGTGTGTTAGTCATTTACATAACAAATGCTATTCAAGGATACAATAAAAAAAAGTTTTTTAAATGATTTTTCTATCATAATTGCGGACTTTTAGTAAGAAGTTCAATTTTCTTCATAATTAATTTAAAATTAATTAAAAATTAGCATCTGTTAGTTTGTTTTCTTAATTTTTGTTAATTTAACTATTAATTTTCGAAACACCGGGACGTATGGTCACCTTAATTATAAGAGCTTATAAATTGAACGACGACGTTTCTAAATGTTTACTTGAAAACTAAATGGAGTTAGAATTAAAGGACCTTATCTCATATTTATATGAATTATATAAATTTATTTCAAGTATATAAGTGATCTTTAAAATTTTAGTTGGAATTAAAATTAAAATCCGAATCATTTTTAATATTTGTGTTTTTTTTTTGGCAAATTAAGACAAAAAATTAATTTTGAAACCAAAAAAAAATGTTTTTCGCAAAATCTGATCGTTTCTTCACAAGCAAAATATTTTTTTTAATCATTATAATCGCATGGTTTGTTTTCTCAAAAACTGCAATTTTTTACAATTTAGCTCCTTATCTCCGAAACGGCTGTACCTGTCTTTGCCACAAACTAATCACCACTTATCCCTATATCATTACGTTTTTTGAATCATTCCCACTTCTCCCCATCTTAATGTTTTTTGAATCATTCTAATCGGATGCTCTGTTCTCTTAAAAACTTAATTTTCATTTTCTGCACTATTTGTTTCGTATCTTCGAAACGATTGGGCCGGTCTTTTCGAAAAACTTATCAGCACTACTCCCCAAAAATAGAAATCAAATGATTTTAAATCATTCAAATCGGTTGAGCGGTGCTTCCGAAGACGTTGATAAAAAGTTTGTATCCACACATACATACACACACACATCCATTTTTTCTGAGGTATGCCAAAACGCTCAGAAACCTCCGAAACGTAAAGATATGCACAAATTTTCAATTTCGATTTTTGGACGATTACAATAACTTACCACACGGGAAACTGAAAATTACAAGGATTCAATTAGCTGTTATATTTTTGTAAGGTGACATGGCATTGAAGGCAAATGGATTCTATTTAATGATATTCTTGATAATTCTTCATCACAATTTTGACCCTAACAGATATGCAGTCTTTCAAAAATTCAATATATATGTATAATGTATTATTAGAGAGCATGTTTCAACAACATATTTATCAAATATACTTTCATCGAGATAGACAAAACCCAGAAACCTTTCTAAACTCGTATTACAATCGTGTCGTAACATTGAACGTGTGACGTAACAAGTTAACATGTAAAACGCGTACTTTTCTCTTTATACTCCAGACTATTCGGACTGTTTTGCAAAAATTCACGTTGGCGCAACTCAATCTTAATTTATATGAAATTATTCTGTTCTTTGAAATTTTAATCGATTTTCCTCGAACGGAATCCCATTGCTTCGCATCAAATAACTTTTTCAGCATTTACTAAAACCTAAAATATTTGCTAAAAACAGTAGAAATGATTATTATATATATATATATATATATATATATATATACGAAAAATATTAAGAATAACTGCTAGTTTTGGATTGATAGAAAAGCAAAGCCTTCACACAAACTAACAATTGATGTTTTTTAAGTGTTCTGCACTATAAAAGTCCGAAAACACAAAGAATTAATGAAAACATTTCATTCATATCCGTACTCCAAAAAATATTATATTTTCTCGACTGAAATAGATTGTTAATTTAAAAAAGAATGCGTAATTATTGCAATGCAATATCATAATGTTTTTTTCTAAAACTTTTCAATTGAAAATTATTATATTAGGTTCAACTTGTTGAAATCTATAAATATTCTCATTTTGAATACTTTTTCGCAAACATAAAATAAAATTTACTTTGACCAGTCTATGTTAAAATTAATTTACACTAGTTTCGAGTAAATTTAAGTTAAATTTTACTTCTTCTACCAGCATTTCGCATGCCATAGTACGTTGCATTCAAATCAATGGAGATTTTTAGAATTTTGTTTCAAATCACAAAACAAAGTAAAAGTAAAAATGATTTTTGTTGAAATATAACTACATAATACTTTACCGTGCATATAATTTATACAAATGAAATTTCAAAAAGCCTAGATTATGTTCGAGCACGGTCTTTTAACGCTGCACTACGGTAAGCACCGGGCTTGCATACAACAAGAACTAGCCGCGGCCAGACGAGGCGCACACCCGACCGACTTGAGCGTCATCTGTGACTCGGGTCTAGACCTTGGAAATATCAGCGGCGAGGGACATCCAGATATCACGCAGAGAGGGCGAGCGAACAAGACGAGAGTTGTTCTGCAAGCGCACAGACTGGTTCTTGCTGCTGCTAGTCCACTTATTAGGTGAGTTTCAACCTCTGAACCATCTTTGAACACTTCAAGCATGTTGGAGACGATCTTCACCCCCGGCTATTGTATAGCACACTAATGATACAGAGCAGAATAATTTTCATACTAAGAAAAATGTTCAACTATAATCAACTAATTCGGTTTAAAATGCTCGATTCACCGTTTCAATGGAAATATTTTCTATCCACATAACCAGAGAGTACACCTATATATCACGTTAATAACGATGACTCTTAAATGAACTTGCAAACTCGGCTATTAGTTTTATTTTATTAATTATTAAACAACTGCATCATATTCAGCATATGTACAGATTTTTTTTATGAGTTTGCAGTATTGTTTACGTACAATTTTATAAATTAATAATAATTAAACTTCAACTTACAATGTTAAATATCACGTAAAAATTGTTTTCAGAAAATTATTACACGAATTACCTCTACTAGAACAAACAATAACCGTACATTTACCGGGCATTCGAGCGCAATCGTTTAAGCATTTACTGGACTTCTTGTACAGTGGCCAGGCTTGTGTTCAGGTAAGAATTTAAATTAAGTTATTTTTATTGTAAAAACTTATATGCGATTGTTTGAAAAGTGTAGTTATCAAAATAATAGTAAATTAAACATATAGTTATATATTTATATGTATCAGTATTACTACACAGTGTGATTTTATATAAGAATATATTTTCAAATTTCAGTCCACTGAGTTGGATCAAATGCAAGAGTTGTTTGATCTGCTACAAATACGATCGGATATATTTGCTAAACGTCATCAACAGCAACAACGGCTCATTACCTCGGATAGTGATTGTTCGTCGGAAGAACCTGGAACATCTGGTGTTAAATCTGATATTGTTAAAAGCAAGCACGAAGACCAAAAGCTAGATGAAGATGAGGATGCGGCATGTGGAGATACGTCATCTTTACTCGCAACGAGAGGTGAAGACAACGACAGGGAACGAAGGAGTTCATCGGATCCTGTTGATTTATGCGTTACCACGAGAACTTCAGATGATACCAAACCGACCTTCCTTCGTGACGACATAGCCCATGATACCAAAACTCTCCGACAAATTGAGGAATCACAAGAAAGCAAATCACACTCTATTCGACATATAGAGGAATCTCAAGATACTATGGAAAGTAAATCCGGATTAATGAATTATGCCAGTCACACATTCAAATTGTACAGAGCGGGATATACGGAAGATGTACATATGGATACTAAAACTCAAACACTGACGCATGCCGAGGATTCACAGGATACTATTGATAACAAATCTGGTGTCAAAAGTTGCGCAAGTCACACGGAAGATTCACAAGACATCGATATCGAGACTGTTCTGACACCATCTGCAGAAGATTTGGATTCGACGAGTCATAAACGTAAACAACGAACCTGCGAGGAATACAAAGATTTTAAGTCGAGCGAACTTCTGACATACCCCAGCCCAGAAAACTATGTCGTGACACCGCATCGTAAACGAAGACCTGGATTTCATAATTCACCAGCTCAGAATCCACCGTTTGTGCCTTTTTCACCAAGTTATATAGAAGACTACAGAAAGACCCTGTTGCCCGTAGGACCCCCTTACAACAACCCACTATGGCCCGTTGAAAATACATCTTCAGGAAGCAGTAATATCGGTGCCAGTAGCACAAGTTCGGCGGTCGGCGTCGGCGTGGGCGCTGAGCCCGCCGGCTCCGCTCCGTCCACGGGTCGGCCGCACCAACCTCCCGTTCGAGAATACCGATGCGAGTACTGTGGGAAACAATTTGGCATGTCGTGGAACTTGAAGACCCATCTGCGAGTGCATACAGGAGAAAAACCTTTTGCGTGTCGATTGTGCGTCGCGATGTTTAAACAAAAAGCTCATTTATTGAAACATTTGTGTTCAGTGCATAGGAACGTAATTAGTTCGCCTGAAAATGGTGGTAGGTTCAATTGTTGTTTTTGTTCATTGTGGTTTGAAACATTACCTGAACTCGTACGACATTTGTCTGGTCCACATAATAGTTTACTTCTCAGTAAAAATTTACATGAATGATACATGCACCTTTTAAATCTATATATATATATATATATATATATATACATATATATATATATGTATATATATATATATATATATGTATATATATAGAAAGCAAATATGTATATACTTATAATTGACAATGAGCGCCTCTGTCGCTGCTTTGAGTGTAATTTTGTCTTTTTTTTGGAAATTAAGTTAGTAGTGCGTATATTTGATGCCGAACAACATAAAAATGTGATTATTACGCCAGTTACAATATTTTTTTATTTAGCCCTCTTTAATATCATAAACATTTTTGCATTATTTTTCGTTGGATAGATTTAGCTTTTGGTTTTTATGAACTTGATAATTCAGAAATCCAAAGTTGATGTAAAACAGCTATATATATATATATATATATATATATATATATATATATGTATATATATACATTATGAGGTCTATGAAAATACTGCAAAACGTTTGGAAAAAAATTATTTGGTTTATTTTGTATCTGCACGATAAGAATGTAGCTTAAAGATTGCTGATTGAGGTGCTATCACTCATCTTGAACGTTATTATATTTCAGATTGTGAATAGAATTATCAGAAGGAAATTATTTTTTTAAAAGTCGTAAAGAATTTGTACATACAAAGTTTGTAAAAGGTATTTTTCATCAAAATTTATTAAGCAATATTTTGTAGAAATTTCTAGGAATCTTTAAAAAGTTAAAGTTGAAGATGTTTGATGAAATTAAATATATATAATTAATTTTTAATATAATGAATGTGTTCATAAAATTGTTGCATATACTTTGAAGATCGAAATCATAACTTATATCATGCACCTAGAATTATTTAATTAAATATTTAGAATTTGTATTGGAAAGTCAGATATTTCTACATGCACTTAATTTGACATATTTTGATAAAATTGACGTGGTAAGTTAGACTAAAACATCATTGGTGAATAATAGCTAAATATGGAATATAAACAAGTAAATAAGATACAAGACAAAACATTTGGGTAGGTTGTAATAGATTTTTTCCATGAAATGGACGTTGAAGTATTCTATGCGCCGCTACTACTCCTTTTGAATATGTATTTTTAAAAGTTTATAACATATTTTGTCATATTGGTGCTACAAATTTAAATATATTAAAATTTAGAATAAATGAAATATATATAAATACGGATATCACTACAGTAGCATTATGTTTTATTGTGAATTTTATCAAACGAGACAACAGATTATATAACTGGAATGCTATATATATTTATTGTATATTTATGACCCCATGCCGTATGTGATTACGTGAATATTTAAAAAAAAATAGAGCGGCTTTTTGTTAAATTTTTTCACAGTTACCATATATCAGACACTAAATAAATAATTATTTTCAGTTTTAACACAAACATTTATTATTGATCTCTAGGCCTGACTTACTACTTAGACATCATATATATAATTATAATATTATATATATAATTGGGTATAACATCAATAAAAACAAAAATTATTTTGTTAAAAATGTATTATAAAATTCCCATGTTTTGGCCGTAGCCCAGCCTTGATTCATTTGAAAAAAAATTAAGAATAAAAAAAGCAACAATTTCGTTTGCAAAAAAGTAAAAAATACTTAATAAATATTATAGGAAATGAAATAGAAGAAACAATAATCCATGATATGAGGATAGGATTTATACTACACTATGTGATAATAAGAACATTAAAACTGCTCTATCCACATGAATATTTTTCACAATTCAATTAACGAAACAACTTTCTACAAAAGAAAGTTGTGTGTGGTTTGTAGGCTAACTGAAGAAATCCACTTCTTCAGCAAATTATAAGTTATTTTTACTTTTAATTCTCAAACACTATTGTTGCATATTTTAGTCTTACATTTTTTAGGTGCTCTGAATGAAGGCTAGGGCTACAGCTGCAATGTTTGAATTTCATATTAAATTTATGTTTTTATTGATGTTATGCCTGATTATTAGACCATGTTTATAAATATGTCTACATAAAATTCAAAGTTGTAGAATATATATATATATATATATATATATATATATATATATATATATATATATATGAACAAGCATGAGTGAAAAATATAATTGGTCAATCTGCTTGAACAAATAAATACACATAAAATCAAAAATGTTACCTCGTATGGTCTGCTGTTATAAATCTATACCACACTAATTTATAATTATTAAACAACAATTTTTTTAGGTCCCCTTTTCTTCATCTTTTATTCGTCTGTTATGAAGATATTTAGTAATTGTTTTGTGGGTTGCCTTCCAATTAGATAGCTGTTTTGAAGGCAACCCAGTAGTTGTCCTTCCTATTTATGACATGTTTTTATTATACCTGAATAGTATTTTTTGACCTTTTTATTATTCTGCAGCAATGCCCCAAAAGCCTTTTGATATCATTTTTTTTTATCTATAACCTTCAAAATCTTTTCCTCAGTTCTGACTATCATCATCATTTTTCTCTTTACTTTGCCCATTTAGTTTGTTAGTTGATTTATTTTTATGAGTAGATTCTGATTCATTCAATCTGAAATCCGAAAATGTATCTGTAAAAAGTAAAAAATATAGATTTATAACACCAGATATATGTTTCAAATTAAAAATATATTTTTAATTTCGATTGAACAGTAGTATGTATTGTTGAAGATTATAAATTAAAATTATATTTTGCTCGACACGAATTTTAAAAAGGTTATGATTTTAGTAATATCTGAATAGTCAACACATTTTTTTTTTGTATTATAAATTTAGTTAGTAATTACATAAATGATTAATATTGCATGAACAAAATTTGAAAACAAACATCTAAATAAATATGCCAATTAAATGAAATCGATCTTTTGGTAATGTGTATGTATTTAGATATATGAAATTCGCTTCAATTTTACTATTGGTGTTTATATTAAACACGATTAATATTAAATAACTTAGCGCTTACAAAGGCCCTACAGAGCTAAACTTAAAATAACATTCACATAAAGCCATACAATCTATTATTTGATTATAATTAATTCTTTGTTGAATAGGATCAATGTGATGCATATCAATAATATTTATGTAATTGTAAGCGCATTTCCCACCACGTCAAGTACGAAATGACGAATTAAAATCTAACGCTTAAGGTGTTCACAGTTTTAATAAATATAATATTGTTGTTTTATTATTTTTAGTATTACCTATTCAACTTAGTAAAATTGTTGTAAATAATAAAATGAACTCGATAGCTATTATATATGCAAGTTAAATATTAGATAATATTGAAGTGTAGTATAAACTGTGAAACCATTTTGATATAATTAGAATATTGCGACAATATATGTATGGTAGTTGTGTCTTCCTGACATTTAATAGTTTGTATTAAAGTTATGTAAGATAATTAATTATATTGTAAATTTTCAGTTTAGAGTTTTTATAAATGTAACTAAATTACAAAATAAATAAGAGTTACCTGTAAGTAAAATTGACTTTATAGTGTGTTAACAATTTTGTATAAATTTTTATATATGGTGTTAATTTTGATTTTGATATGTGTAAAAAATCTTCAAAACAGTTACAAAGCAATCTTCATGGACACTATTGCTAAAATAAAGTAATTCCACTATTCAAAAATATTTGAATCCAATAGCTAATTGTATCGACATAATCCGTGGAGCATGGCAAAGAGCCGATGCATTTGCATTGAAAAGGCATATGACCCCATCATCCTGCCCATAGATTAGAAAAATCCTACCATTCTTTATATTCCATCTGTTCCCGTTAATCATAATTTCAATCTATCCACCAAAACTTAGTCATCAACTACAGAAGTGCTATTCATATAATAATATATGATCTAAATATTTTCAATTATTGAAAGCTACATACTACAGTTGAAATCATTACTGATAATAATTACATCCATATTGAATTTAAATCATGTACCTATTTTAATAACAAAAATTGTGTTCTAATATTCAATCATATAAATGTTTTTGGTTCAAAATTAAGTTATCAACAATTATAATCTGTAGTAATATGATATATTAAAAAATTAGCCTATGGAGTATTAAGAAATGGTTTTACATGCCACATTAATTGGCCTATTAGGTAATTATACCTTCTTGTACATCTTTTGATTTTGATAAAGCAAACTTGCATCAATCTGTTCACAAAAAATTATTCTGATCCATGATAAACGTTTTGGAGAAGCCTATGATAAAATAAAAAAAAATATTACAAAATACTATAAAACTACCACATGAGAACACCGAAATATGAAAATGAAATATAAGAATTCGAAATAAGGATTTAACCATGAGATTAAGGTTAAGCTTTAACAGTTGTGACAGTTGTTTGACAGCAGCAAGGGCTATAATCTTCATACGGGGTATTCTAATATTGTCTAGGATAATCTTTTTGGCTGTTGGTACGCATTCTGCACGAAGTGAAATGTCAAATTCATAGATTCGGTTCGATTCTCGGTTAGACCAAGAGCGCGCATTTCAAATCTAAAATGTATAGTACAAGAAAAATCTCACTAACATTTATCTCATTTAATCAGATTTATTTAGAAAAATTATTGATTTTATTGAATATCATGGTGTGATCGATTAAAATTAAATGTTTAGTCTAACTTATTTTCTCTCTTACAGAATTTTCATTATCTTCTGAATAATGTATCAAAGAGAATCTCGTGTACATAAACTAATATTTAAAGTATATTTTTTGCTATACGTATTAAAGAAAGTCTCTCCCAACTATTTCACAATTTTGATATCATATTTGTCTCAAAGATCTTTTCCAATTAAAGTCAATGAAGGACTCCCCTCTCGTAAACAGATTCATTCGGCTGTTCTGAGTTCCTTAATATACCTTCTATTTACCAGTAATATATCATTCAACCCTACTTTAACAACAATTAATAAAGTTCATTTGCTTCGCCCTTAAATAAGGTGACCATATTTTTTAAGTCAAATCCGGGACGGCAATTTTTAGTTAAGCTAATCCTAGATGTCGGGGGGGGGGGGCGGGGGGGTGTTAGTCGTTCATATAACAAATGCTATTCAAGGATACAATAAAAAACAGTTTTTTAAAATGAATCTTTTTTTCAATCAGAATTGCAGACTTTTAGTAAGAGCTTTATTCTTCGACTATATGCAATACTTCTTTATCTATGATATTATAATGTATCTTACATTTTTCGATCTATAAGTTCTAGTAAATTTTCTTCGTAATTAATTTGAAAAAAAATAGCATCTGTTAGTTTGTTTACTTAATTTCTGTTAATTAACTATTCATTTTCGAAAAAGCGGGACAATTCTAGACAAAAAATCAAAATCCGGGACAAATACGAGGTGTGTTCAAAAAGTACCCGGAATTACTAATAATTAAATTTCGCGGGTCTGGAGTGTCTGATTGTCAAAAAATTTTTTTTATTGTGTTGGTATACATGCCCCTAAAGTATGATGAAATTTTCAGCTATATTCACTGTTTACTTTGTCTGTGGTAGTCGCTAAGGTTCGACGTGTTTTTCTGAGCTCGGCGATTTTTACAATGGAAGAATTGAAAAGTCAAAGAATTTGTATTAAATTTTGCGTAAAAAATGAAATAAAGTGTTGCAAAGTGCAAAAATTCACCAGATATGGCTCCGTGTGACTTTTTCCTATTCCCAAAGTTGAAGAGACCCATGAAAGGACGGCGGTTTTCCTCGATTGAAGAAAATCGCTGAGAGTGCTCAAGGACATATCAAAAAGTGAATATCAAGGGTGCTTCGAAAATTGGAAAAAACGCTGGCATAAGTGTATTATATCTGGGGGGGACTACTTTGAAGGGGACCACATTAATGTAGACGAATAAATAAATATTTTTTTGAAAAAACGAAAATTCCGGGTACTTTTTGAACAGACCTCGTATTGCCTTAAGAAAAACCCGGGATACAAGGTGGAAATGCGGGACTGTCCCGGCCAAACCGGGACGTATGGTCACCTTACCTTAAACTGGCTTTGAAGTACGATTTGAGAAAAAAAAATCCGACAATAAATTCGGTGAATACTTAATTCGGTTTAGTCGAGTCATCTTTAATAGTCTTTTTAATTTTCTTTGTTTAAAGTTTTTTGGTACCGATAGTATCAATGAACTTATTAAAGCTTTTATATATTGTAATTCGTTTTTTAAAGGTTTTTTGAGACTACTTATTTTATGAGAAAATAATGATTTTTTTATTTATAGATATGTATTGCATGACAATTTAAATAATAATTTTTGCTTATACAGTAATATATATATATATATATATATATATATATATATATATATATACAGCTAAGATTATCCTCAAAGTTACATTATAATTCTACATTAGTTTGTAAATATTTTATAAATAAGTTGGCAACGAGATTAAGCTGATTTATTATTAATTTTTTTCATATTTGCCTTTATTAAGGCCACTGATCATCTTATGTTTTATTTTAAAAACTATAACTCAAGAGTACATCTGCACTTACAACTTTGCTAGAACTACACAATTATTCCTGACTATAGTACAATATTAACTAATAATTATTGTGGTTACATTTCACATAATTCTCTATTATAAATTATTGTTTTTCATATATTTCAATATTATGACCTCGAACCCATTTCATAAAATATATCTACATTAGATATTGCATATTTTTCTATACTTTATTTTAATTAAAAACCTTCAATTATTTTCTGTGATTATCCTAAGAAAAATTAAACTTATAAATGAAGTTGAGATCGTTGGCTCGAATTATTAATTTAAAAATCCTAAATGTTCGTTAATTAAAAATTATCATTAATTATTTTGTTTCTTTCGAGAAAAGGATTTTTGAACAAATTATCAAAATTATTAAAAGTTTCCAAATACAAAAAAATTGGATATATATATATATGTATATATATATATATATATATATATATATATATATATGTATATATATGTATATATTTATATATACGAATAAAGTATATATATATATATATATATATATATATATATTTTACAGTGGAATCTGGATATAACGACTTTTCTTAGATCCTATAGAAACATTCATTCAATACGACTTCCACTTACAATAATGTAGAAAAATTAATCAGAGGAAGTATGTTTTAAATGTAATTTTTTTTACTAATCATGCGAATAGGTTTAATTGTTTTTAAACCTCCTACACTTAAAGATAAACAGTTCAACCACTGAAACTTTCCCTAAAAACAACATCAATTGCTGCTTGGAATATATTTTTGAAATTATATTTAACTTTATTTTTGCTGATAATTCAGATTAGCATTTACCAAAGACCAGGAGAGGTGGAGTAAAGCTACAAACGATCAGATATTGTAAATCCAAGTAATCAAGACTAAACGGTAATGGCAAATTTAAGCGGGATTCGAGAAAAGGTATTGGAAAATTCTGATTATCATAGGGATAATTTCATAATCTCAAACACATCTTTCGAGATGCGAAAACAAATGTTACAATTTTCAAATTTATTTTCAGGAGCTAGCATCGACTCTGCGAAAATAAAAAACTAACAAACAGATAAGA